AACGCTTAGGATACTAAAGAAACAGTAATATGTTTGCACCCACTCCCGTACAAGGAAATCAGTCACACAATTTGAAGGAGCGAAAAAAATTGAGCACATATAGTAGAAAAGTGAAAGAACCACGGCCCAGGCTCTACCGAATCGCACTTTAGGGAAACCTACCGTATGCGGGCATTTCGCTCCCTCGCATACGTCGGCACAAAATATTCCCAAATTCTTTCTGTAGTTACTGATGCTCACAAAGACGAATATTTTAACATAAGCTAGTGCGGCGTATGTGCACAGATAAATCAATAGGCACAGAAGCGCACAGAAATACGGTTGCGGTCGCGAGTTTGCACATCGCAATACGTTCACATAACGAGTGCTTCTAAACAATCTCTCCAATTGGTCTATATCCGTGTTCCTATCTATATCATTTGGGTTTTCCGCCTACTGTTCGGCATAACGTCCGCAAATGCTGGTTCGGATTCCATGGTTGTTGGAGCCTGAAGGACCTTTCGTAATTTACACCACCAATCATCACTTTCGAAGATGAAGGCTTATCTACCAATGTAACTGTACCTTTTGATCGTACAGTGAGGAAATCCCAGGTGTATGCAACGTGCACCGCATGATGACATTGTGTCTGAGGTCACAGCTGAAGTGAACACTATATAGTATTTCATTTATATCTGTCAACCCTCATCACAACCTGTATCGTATACGTTTCTGGGCAGTTTTAAATTTCTATTACTTATGTGAACTTTTAGCCACACACTAAGACACTCGGAAGAGTCAATATACTTCCTTCGGCTTCTGTCCGCGTCTTTCATCTTTTTGACACCACCTGGTCGTAATGCTGGAATGCGCTTATTGATCGTCTAGTGGGTACACCACCCGGGTCTGCCAGTGTTGCTAGGGGAGCTGGCATTCAGATAAATCCGGATAACTAATCGTGATTTTTTTCAGCATAGATGCTGTTCCGGTTTGTCACTTTCCGTCTAAACTAGACCGTTACATATCCATTCAGTAACATTCCACAAACGGATTTCAACGCAGTCGTTGTTGTCTGTTTTCGGTGGTGATAAATCGAAGTGTTAGCATACATTATATTGTTTTTGTGGTGGAAGTTTTCTTTCGATCCGCTCATCATCATCATCAATACACGCTAGCTGAAGGTGAGAAACATACCTCAACTATTGTGCCGCAATGCAAGATATTAAACATTACAGACTAAAAAAATTAAAGCACTGTAGTGCTAAATATTGTTTTATGCATGGAATATATCATCACTGGGCTGGAAACTAAAGGCAAAGCAGCAGTACAACAGGAGGGAAGGATAAAGAGACTCACAACACAAATGTCATTTTGGTCGGCTTTTTGTCATGTCAACTAGTGTATCCAACCGGACGTGTTCATCGTCCTTCGGACCACAGTCATGTACTCGGGATGCACCAGTTGACACCAACTTCGAAGTGAGAGATTTCCTTCTTATCCAAGTTACCGCTTTGCCACCTTCATTTCTATCGAGACCCCGGGCGCGCAAACAGCGCACGTTGCGAGAGTCGGTATGCTGGCATGCGTAACACGTGGCCGAGCGTGATGCAACGGTGCTGAGCGGTTCACTAGCTCTTCCTTCACCAAATACGCGACGTCGAAAATGTCTTTTGCTCACACGGTTTTCCCACCAGACATGGGCTAAGTTGCGAAGGCACCTGTGGTCGAACGTAACTCGTCTCAATATATCTGTCGGTCTGATGGGCCAGGTTTCGCAACCGTACAGGAGGGTTGAACGGACGGCTGCATTGTAAACTCTACCCTTTTACCGTGAGAGTGATGCCGCATTGGCGACATGTGGCGGAGATTGGCAAAAAATTTTGAGCTTTTGTTATATAGTTGGTGATCTCCGATTCCGCGGGCGCTAATGTAGCTACTGAGACACTTGAATTCCTCGACGACTTCCAGCTAATCCCTACCAAGAGTCAACGCAGGGGTAGGTCCCTGTTAACCTTGGAAAGATACTTTGCATTTCCAGAATGCAAAGCATAGCTTGAAGCAATTGACATCCCAAGCTAATTTATCCAGTGCATCTTGGCACGTTCGGCAGCTGTCACAGATGAAAACAATATCGTCACGTACTCCAAGCCAAGAAGTCGGTCATCTGGGAGCAGCTGCACGCTTGTAGGTGGTGTCCATTGAACGCGGTCTCCATGACTTGGTCAGTTGCGAAGTTAATGAGGAAAGATGACAATAGATAACCTTGTCTCACGCCGCTGGAGAGATTGCAGGGCGGCTAAGATTGCCGTAAACCCTCACTCTACCTGAGCTACGCGCGTATAGCGCTCGCATAATGTTTACATATTTCTCAGGTGCAGATTTCCTGAGTAGACATTCCTAAAGAGCACATCGATCCACTGAACCAATGGCCCCCTTGATGTTTAGGTACACGAATACGATGGGTCGATAATAAACATGGCAACGTTGCAACAATTAACGCAATGTTTAGTTATGGTCGATGCACCCTCCATTTCGACGAAACTCGGCTTGCTCTTCACGAATCTGACTTTCACGAGTGCCTGTCAGTCCTTGAAGAACGACAGAGACAAGCAATTTGGAGGCGATTAAGATCCGACTGATAGCTCTATGATAGCCCATTCAGAACATGAACATCGCTTGAAAATTAGGCTATGATCCATTGACTCCAATCTGCTAGGTCATTCTCCTGCTCCCACCGCTTCACGAATAAGTTGTGCAGTTTTAGCTACAAAAACGGGTCTCCGAAATTAAAGCAAGTGGGAGGATGTCTGTCTGCTTCTGCAAGCTTGTTCAATTTCAACAGTCTGACCTCATGTCCGATTTCTGCGTGCCAGGGCGTATCCAAGAGAACGGCCCAGGTAGTAGCGCGATCAATGGCCGACAAGGAAGATGGCAAGTCTGGCTGACTAATCTGCTTTTCAAGGTATACGGCCCAACGTTCAAAGTGTTTTCACAAGTTGTGCATTGGCTACCGATTCTCTTCGTGTACAGGCTTGCTAGTACCAGCTTTCCTGCTACCTGTTTCGTGTATCAGACGGAATAAATGTCGATAGTTACCAAGGACAGCGGTTGTCTCCACGATGAGACTACCTGGCTTAGCTGTCTCTCTTCAGGCTAGCACGCGGTTTTGCCCTGAGACTTTTGCGAGCGTCATTGTCTGCATCTCCAGACGGAACACGCCGGCGGCCATCCATAAGTTCCAGAGACTGCTAAGATTTGGTTTGCCTCAGGAAAAAGTGCCTGCTGTAAATAGTCTGGCGGATATGCGACCAGTGATCTCCAACTGTGTTCAGTGGGCGCTTACTCAATCCTAACGCCAGCGTAGATTGATGCACATTCAGCACATCTGGCTTCACCAGTTAGCAAGTATCTATGCGCCCACAACGTCGTTTCGGACGTCCGCCAAAAGGTGTAGCAGATCGGCACATTCGAATGCTTAGTCAGAATCCCCTCACGTACTCTAAATCAAGCGGCACTTTTGGACATAGCCTCTTTAGCGATTAATTGATCACAATTTGACCGAGTTGCGTCCATCGCTAATTGGAGGCTGGTTGGCTCCAAGCCACTTTTATTCGAGTGCCTTGTTGGAAATTAGTAATCACGTGACATAGACGAGCATCTTCACACAGGTGTTTAAACTGATCACCGTTATCGTTACGAAAGCCTATACCATGTTGGCCGTCCAGATGAAGCTCCTCAGTGGTCAGTTTTCCAATATGGGTCCTTAAATCAGCCAGCACCACAGTGGCTGTACTATTCTGTGGCGAAGGAGCTCATTCCATTGGCCATAGAATTCATCTTTCACCGAATCACTGCTACAGTTTGTGGGGTCTTAGGCTGCAATAACAAACGGACACCGTTTGTCCTCGCGCAACTTCGGAGCATTCAACGAGCCAGCCAATCAGATACAGCAATTCCGGTTGTTCATTGGGATCCAATCAAGCAGAGAAGCTTTAGCCTGGGAGCTAAGAACAATGCCTCTACCGGGCTTGACCGGTATTTGAAGCCACATCTCCGCAATAAGTAAATACCGCCAGCGTCGCACGTTAGGGATCGCAGCGTAATCACAGAATTCGAATCATTCATGCGAGTTCCTGTTAAGCAGTAGGTGTCGCTTGACGGTGTCTCTAGTGCTGCTTGTTGGCCAATCTGCAACAAAGTGCTCACGTTGAAGCATGCCAGTCTTATGTAGAGTCGAGGACTTTAAATTGCAGCAGATGAACTGACCTCGTACGTTTGCCTGGACATGGACTTCTCGACTGGACCGAAGCGACAACCTGCGGCAGCCTGTGAGTCGAAACAGGAAGATAAAAGATCACAAAACCAAGACGGAGGAGGGCCATTAATCTTGTGGGGGGGGGTTGAAAACAGGCGTGGAAACAGTGAAGTTGGAACGGGATAAAAAGCCCAAGAAGGGTAGTAAGAGGTCGGGAAGGTTTGTGCAGTAGCATCCAAACTACTGTCAATTCTGCCGATGCAGCAGATAGAGCATGGTTGATTGTCCTCTGCGACGGCTAGAGTATCATGATCGGCTGGATCTGCTTTACCGACCACGTGTCTTGGAATGCATCCGACCACCTTTACGCACCTACTGCGGTTTGCGTTCATCTTTGTTTGCGCCATGCATCTTCAGACTCCTCTTCGTCGTTGGTTTTACCGTCCAATTACCGATCCTGCCTGTTTCAAGTAATTGCTCCATCTTCCTGTTGCACTATACTTACCCTTATGCTCCCGAATTCTCGATGGACGTATCAGAATACGTTTTCTTATAATAAACCAAGTCGATTTGTTCCTTGAGCGTCGCATTGTGACGATTAGTGCTCTTTCTTTACCATTGTCTCCAAACACTAGTATTGTTCGCCTTTATTTCTTGAAATTCTGCGACACTTCGTTTTTAATTTGCTGCACTCTTGCGCTTCGTCCCCAAAGCCCTTGTTTCTCTTAGCGCGCTCATCACACATGCATCACATTTCTTTTTATAGGAATCTGTCTCAGTGGCGCCACCAAACTTCTATTCACAACGTTTTCAAGATTTCTTGTCTCGCGTTGTGTTCAAACGAATACAATCTCGTAAGTCCTATTCCTTCTGGCGTCTTGTTTCTCCTACTACTTCTTGCTCCCGTGCTTCATGACATCTTCAGGTGCACAACTCTTCCTCTTTGCTTTTGACCACCTTTCACTGAACATCTGACAGTCGCACCCAACACCGTTGTCCGACGACTCTGTCCTGCTTTGCTCACCAACTCCCACCCATTGACATAGTGCCGATAGTATTTGACTATCTAAGCAAATGGTCTGCACATTGGATCCATAGACATCATCTCAACACGGCTTTTGTCGATAAACGAAGTGCGGACCGTAATCGCATGGGCCAAATTAACTGCTAGGCATTGGCTTAGTTTGGAATGCGCTGTACGTATAATTACCAGCTGCTAAAATGGAGCCTGTAAAACGTGGCGGTGGTAAACATTGCGCGAACGGCGACTGCACTAAAGCGACTGAATAATCCAGATTTGAAAGCTAAATTTATTGCATGAAAAGTGACAAATCTGTGGTAATTTGTACGATATGAGTAGCTCCTCTGTTTGTTGAAAACCAGGCTCATTGCTAAGCGGACTTTGTGCTGACCTCGAGATATCCATCTCTATGCGACTTGCTATTTGTCCTGGATAATGTCCCTAACTGGTCGATTGTAATAATCAGATCGCATGATTTGTTCTGCGATCCTTCGATATGGTCCGTCACAAATCTTCGTCCAACATAACATTGAATTTGAAACCTTCTTATTCCGCTATTCACAAAGATGGTGTTGTCGTACATTGTTCGGTCCTTAATCCTATTCCATCCACATCATTCATCTCTCGTCAGTTAAGCTGCCCAATAACTTCGTGCGTTGTAATCCGTGAGAATATTTGTAGCTCGGGATGCGGATGAGGGTATGCGGGTGTTCTCCGAGCTGGCTGATTTGTTTGAAAATTTTTCATCGTCAGGCTAGACGACATCATCAGTGCGATTCATGCGGACCATTTACAGATCCAAGTGATTATTGGTCACTTGATTCGAACGTCAGGAGTCTATTGGTTTACGTGAGATGACCGTGTAGTCAGCTCTTGCGTACTGTTGGCTAGAGTCCGCCTCAATGACGTTCCTTTGTCCTTTTGCTCTGGGGTGGAGTATTGTTTTGATCGTCAGTGCCTCATAAGCAGTATCAAGATCTAAGTGTCGATTGATTGAGTTCTTTCCAGAGTACCAAGCCTCAATGAACTCGCGTGCTTTTCGACTTTTTGCCCTTCCTTTAATCCTGACATTCTCCAAATCAAACTGATGATTTTCGGCGTGCATATGTACCGACATCAGGGAGTTCTGGTCATGTTGGCGGATGACTAGGCTATGCTCATGTAGCCTAGTGCCGAACTTTCTTCCTGTCTCGCCCACATAGTATTTGTTACCATTTTTTGCAGTGGATTTTGTAAAGCACACCATTTGTTTCTTCTTTGCCAAGCCGGTCCTTACCACTGAAGAACTTGTCTCGAGACAAGATGTCGGTACATATGGACGCGGAGAATCATCAGTTTGATTTGGAGAATGTCAGGATCATAGGCAGGGCAAACAATCGGAAAGCACGCGAGTTCCTTGAGGCTTGGTACTCTGGAAAGAACTCAATCAACCGACACTTAGATCTTGATACTGCTTATGAGGCACTGATGGTCAAAGCAATACACCACCCCAGAACAAAAGGACAAAGGAACGTCATTGGGGCGAACTCTAGCCAATAGTACGCAAGAGCTGACTACACGATCAGCTCACCTGGACCAATAGACTCCTGACGTTCCAATCAAGTGATCAGTAATCACTTGGATCTGTAAGTGACCCGCATAGGTTGCACTGATGATGTCGTCTAGCCTGACGATGAAACGTTTTCAACCAAATCAGCCAGCTCGGAGAACACCCGCTTGCCCACATTGGTGCGTTGTGCCACGCCTTCCGTTGTAACTCGCCGCTAAGTCCAAGATCATTCAGACGTCAGTTGAATCATTCAACGGATCCTCGCAACTATCGTCGCCGTCACTATGTGACCATGATGAACAGCGCAAGTTTGCTCCGCGAGCGAATAGAAATTAGTTTGGCGATTGGAATTGTGAACTGGGATGAACTGTGGCGTGATCTCTCTAAGAATACGTTCAGATTCCGATTTCTGCACCTCCTATGCACTACGCGACCAAAAACATCTAAGCACCCACCTTTCCAAACCTTTGGCCTCAATCTTTCATTAAAGTGCCTTTATCTGAGCCGCATGCCCCAATGCATAGTTAATTTTGTACATATGCCGGCACAGGTACAGGTTCTCGGATCTTGGGACATATATGTATCAATATTATTGTCATGTTAAGCAAATATGAGACCTACATGGATAATTCCCTGCATCTTTCACAAGCCAGCGTCGTACTAGTACTGACATATAACTCACAACTCCGCACCGTGCAGTTCGGTTGGGTAACTGTAGCAGGTTTACCACAAGTGCTGCTTACTTGCGATCTGCCTTGGCACCTCGACTTTAGCGTCCAATTTATCGTTTACACCCCAGCCTGGTAGGCGATGGAGAGGGTCGCCACAGCCCATTTCAGTTGTGGATGACTTCACCTCTGCTTTCCAGTTAAGCGATTGCCTCCTCGAGCTTTAGACCTACAGAAAAATGAAATAATTCTCATTTCAGTTAGTAGTCCACAGGAATACGTATCACCTGTTCCCGTCAACACCACTTATTCAATCATATTTGTTGGGCTGACGAAACAAACCATACATCATCTACTGTTGCTCCCATGCGCATCACAGACACACATGCGCCACAGACCCTGATGTCCAAAACCTTAAAGCATTTGACATCTTCAGATCGATTGGGCTAAGTTTCAGTGCTACGGTGGACGACATCTGTCGCTATGTTCTCGTATTAAGGTATTTCAAGACCATATGAAACTGGCGCATATACTTACCAAAGTATTCCAGAATTTCGCATTCACTTGTTGATGTGATCTCACTTTCTAAAGACTAGTGGCATAATTTTAATTAATCCGTCCCAGCAGCTCACAAGTTACATAGCGCAACCCCATCCGGAAAAACACCAGACGCATGTTTCGCCTTATTGGAGCACGTCAGTGGTGCGCAGCTTTCGGTCCCCTACTGGGTATCAAATCCATGCCCGCAAGAAGCTGACGCCAACTAGCCAGCTGCTTAAATCACTGAATCATGAGGGACGGTGATTGAGCTACATACTTTGCAAGCTAACTGGTAGGAACCTGTATGGCAGTGGAAGATATGTCGTGCTATCTCCCAGTTAGCTTGCAACGTATGTTGCTCAGCCTCCTTCCCCATGGCTTAGTGGCTTAAACTGCTGGCTAGTTGGCGTCATCCTCTTGCGTTCGGTACCCAGTAGGGGAGCGAAGGCTGCGCACCACTGACGAGTCCCAATGGGGCGAAACGCACGTCTGGTGCTTTTCCGGGTGGGAAGTGTTATGTAGCTTGTGAGCTGTTCGGACGACTGTACTAAACTTGCAATTAAACTCTTCCTACTCACAAGTACTATATAATGTTCCCATCCTGGTGGCATACTTGTCAATTTTCAACTCCTCTTCGCTAAGGGCCAAGAGACAAACGAACAGCTGGTCGTTCTGTAACGTTATTTTCCGCTTTGAGGGTCTAGCATGTGTGTATTAAGTTGCGACCAGTCCGAGGAGGTTGGCTATTGTTAACCGTGCCGCCTCACGCTCGTCAAACTACAATACGACATTGTCCACATATTTCTAAACAGTTTTTCTACGGACCGAACCTATGTATTGGTTTCCTGAAATTACATAACTGGATCTGTTACGGTGTAGTCGTTTATAAACAGAAACTCCAGGAAGAGCATTTTTCATTGGATCTGCTTCCTTCCGACACATCATCTGCTGGTATTGTTCATTCTACACCGCTTCAGTTGAGGAGCATATTACAATGATTGCCCTCATTCCGCTTTTCATCGTCTCCATTATTTTCGTTCAGTCAAATGTTTACCGCTTCACATTATACTTCTGTATGAATTATCGATCGGTGTTTGGTCCGTATTTGGGGCCGAATTCGTGTGACCTTATATCTTACTTCGCACTATGCAGCTGTGTTTTTTTAATCTTTTATATCTGTTTTGCGTACTCTTTTGTGACACCCGGGTTTAACCTCCTCCCTGGTTCTGGTATCGCAACTTACTTTACTGCGGCTAGCTCCTGCAACAGGATGAGCCGGCTTCATGGATGTCACGGATTGCAGCTGCCCAAGCACGGCGGTTAGCTGCAAGCTCCACGCAGCTAGTAATCCAATGATTTCTCCAGTGACAAGCACCATGCACAACCTGGAGTCCCAAATCAACCTACGATTTCCTAGTAAAGTCAGCGTCTGGTCTGCGGAAGACGTGACCGAACCACCGAAGTCTGCGACGTTGGATGAGCGCTGAGAGCTTCGGAAGACTGTAACAGCGCTTGCGAACCGTCATTGACGATACGTTCATGCCACCAATGGTCGAAGACTTCCAGCTTCCGGGTGTTATCGGATCGCAGCGGCCATGTTTCGCAACCATAGTGCTAAATGATACGATTGGTTGCTGAGAATACTAGGATTTTCGTTCTCAAACTAATTTCCTTTCTTCGCCTCGACGTGTTTCTCACTTGTAAGGAGGCTGTTCTGGCACTGTCAGTACGATTCCTGATTTCGGATGTAGTTTGACTATTGGGGAGAATAGTAGATCCAAGGTATTTGAATTAAGGAACAGATTTGATGACTTGTCAATCTAAGGAGAGCGACGGGGCTGACTGAGGGGCTAACGATGAGAAGTATTTCGTCTTGCCGATGTTAATTTCGAGGCCGATCATAGAGGCTGATTGCTCGACCCGATTTAGCATTGACTATAGTGATATAACACCTTCCTCAAGGATAGCGATATCGTCAGCAAATTCTTGATCTGACAGTCAAACATCAGGGCTAGCCTGAACAACACGATAGCCCTCACGGGCATGATACATAAACCAGTCGACTCCGAAGTTGAA